CTTTTATTCAGATTCTCATAATGATTTTATTCTGTTCATCTGCTTGCATCTGGACTCAAAACTCAAATCCAGACAGTGAGTGCGATATCACACGTTTCTTTTTCGGGATTCTGATAGCGCACTCACTGGGAACTATACAAGAGTTGATGGGTGTGTACCAAGTACTACCAACTGAGCTAGGCCTGTCAGTTCATGGATAAAACTGTTAATACTTTCACATGTTGATGATAGGCTTGTTAGAAAACGAACCGGTTCAACGCAAAAAAGAAAAAAAAAAAAAAAAAAAAAAAAAAAAAAAAAAAAATTTTTTTTTTTTTTTTTTTTTTTTTTTTTTTTTTTTTTTTGGCCCAGCGGGGCAGTGCGACTTTTCTGCAAAGCAGAGTTTCGACTGCATTGTGAACTTCCCACTCGACTGGACTGCTAAAACATAGTTTGAAATGCATTTAGAAACTGCTTTCGTGACTGCGCCCAGCTCCGCGCCTCTGCGCTGAGACACTAGCGGGCCTTATGTTGGTCACGTGCACACCGCCTTGGGCTGACACAGGTAAGCTATTACAGACACTGCGTGCGCACCACCCAAGGGATTGTCGATGGTGTTGTATGTTGGGTCCTGGGCTATGACGGGTTTGCCTGATACAATTAGCAGTCTAATGGGGATGCAGGTACGGGTTTGTGGTTAGAGTGCTCATGAGTGTAGGCTCTTTCTTGGGAGGGCCAAGGTGGCAAGGACCTTAGGTGGGATGGGGTCCCGTTTCGGGGGAGGGTTGGCTTGCAACAAGCTCTGCTGGAGGATATCAGTGGGGAACCTAGAGTAGGTTATCCCCATGGGAGGGGTGATAGTAGACAGATTCTGGCCCGTGGAGGAGATCGTCGGGGAACCTGCAGTAGGGGCTGTCTGAGGGGGAATCCTCCAAGTTAGGATGGGGTCCGCGTCCCGTAAATTAGTTGCTGACTGTAGATAGGTACCTGTCGTGGGTCCAGAAACCTACCTGTACAACACCCTGGACCACTCTAGCACTGTCTTAATCTTATGCATCTATAGTCATGCATGCAACTATAGTCTATGGAATCACCTGGTCCATACTCGTACACATGACTGTAGATGCATACGATTAAGACAGTGCTAGACTGAACTTGCATAGAGGACTCAGTGTGCAGATGCCCACGATTAAGGCAGTGCTGGACTAGAGTTGTATACCGGACTGTGGAAGCATACAGATGATGCTTTAAATGACTAACAGAGTCACCAGACTCTGAAGGACAGAGGGCATCCAAGGAGATTATCACCAGGACCAGCGGCACCGGAAAGGGAGAACCTGAATCTGGGTTGACATCGGGCACTCCGTCAACTGTACAAGGACAGACACAGCGTGACAGCGGGCACAGCTCAGCAGTACTCACACACTCTAGCAGTTTCCGATGCCATCAACAGTTACTCAGTCTGGCTTATAGTAGTACAAGGGACGGTAGTCTGTAGATGCACACAGTGAAGACGCTGCTGGACTATAGTTGCATTATACAGGATTGTAGATGTGGACTGCTGATGCGATACTCAGTACATGATCTGGGAGGTTTGCTTGCCTACATGATCTGGGAGTCAATCCTAGGTGGTAGTACCGGACTACAAGTCTGAGACAAGAGAGGGTGGTATACTGGGTACATGGGAGAGACATAATTAAACTTGGAACCTGATTCCACCTCACTCAGATGTGGCCATGGATTCCGGAGTGGTGTGGCGAGGCCCTGAAGTACCTGGCCTGGTTGATGATGATGTCCTCTGGGACGTCTGTTAAAATGGAGAGTCTGACACAGACTGACAGAGAAGATTCGCATGGCCCCTGGCCCCTTGTGCAAGGATGACACCTGATTTCAATGGTAGTGTCCTCCTTTTCTTTCCTTCTTTTTGGTGAAAAGGGTGACGGCCTTGACATATCATGACTTCAACTGACCGGCCGTGTCCTTCGGGACTTTCGTTGAGATTGGAATGATGCAGAGAAGATTACCATGGCGGCTGGGCAAGGATGACACGCATATTAAATAGAGCAATGGCCCAAGTACTACCAACTGAGCTAGGCCAGTTGATGACATGATTTCAATGATACTTTCTCTAGGCCAACGCCCATTAGAAATGAATTTGTACAGAAATAAAATCGCATACAGTACTACAGTACTACACTAAAAACTGTCCTAAGATGGACAGAAATGCGTAGCATGGGCTACCCTATCTGAACTGTCTCTTCGGACCCTAAAACCTAACCAGGGAGTTGAAAGCTAGTTCTATTCCGCACACACTGCTGACACTCCCTCCAGAATCTACACAAATTTGCCCCTCCAAAATCCTCACAAATTTGCCACTCTACTCCGCTTCTGATAACCGAGTGCCTAGGTTATATTACCGTTAGAACTACTCTGCAGAGTCTGCACTGAGTCTGCAGAAAACCACATTGCCAACTCCAACTTGTGGGTCTCAGGAATCAAGGAAAGGTGACTCCCTAACTTAAACTTCAGGCACAAGTGTAACCCTACCACTCCAGGCTTGCCTGTCTGGTTTCTGCTCACAAAACCCTCCAAAAGGCTCCAATGCCAACCAGTGGCAAGTTGGCAACCACAATCGTCGTTACAAATGGAATGTTTGATGTGCAATTTGATTTTACCTACCCAAGCAGACAAAAAGTTTTGGGATGTTATAAGACCTCCCAGCGCCGAAAGCTTTGTATAATTTGTTTCCCTGCAACCGGGGCAAGAAATGCCGCAGGCCCCAAAATGACTTTTGGACTCATTTTTGCACCCTGTAAAACACTCTCCTGCCTATTTTGCAAATTTGCACAGCGCCCAGCCAGGGTGCAAAAATGACATGAAAAGTCATTTTGGGGCCTGCGACACTTTTTGCCCCGTTT